GCTTATGGGATTCAAAACACATGTTTATCTGTGTAGGCTGGGTCTGACTCAGGCTGATCTGGCTCTTCAGGTTCAGAATTATAATGAAGAAGACACAGACCATCCAGCAGTTAACAAAAGGAAGTTTACTTAGCCTTTGCATGGAAAGACACAACTCAGCAAGGACACAACAGTTATTCATTTGAATGAAACTTCCTTGTCTTGGTGTCAGTCATGAGACACACTGGTCAAACTTGAAGGAGTAGCAACTAACTCCTAACTGGCTGACTTTGTTCTTCATCCAGCAGGAAGCTATTTTACAGCTAAGGGTTTGCCTTCAGGGCCAATTAACTCTCAGTGATGGTTATAATTCTTTTAAAGGAAAAGCACAGCTTAGCCCATGTGGGGTAGATGTTGTTCTTATGATAAGTTGCATTTTTTTTTAACACCATGACCTCTTAGTCCATCAATCTCCTCAAATACTATGATCTACATCTTCATGTTAGCCACACACAGAGATTTTCATTTCATGGATCTAATTCATTTCATGGATCAATTCATTTAATGGATCTAATCATTAGATCTTAGATCTTGCCATTATCCATGACTGTGCTACCTTCAATGACCTTAGGCACTGAGATTTCCCTCTGATCATAATTTCCCATCCTTCCATTTTTCCATCTGCCTCACTCCTCCTAAATCTGTTTTTTCTCATCACAATCTTCAGTCCCTCTAACCCTCTATGTTCTCCAAGTCTTACTCTGACTTCAATTTTTTCTCTTTATTCTTAATTCTTGACTCTGTAATTTACAAGTTCAACTGTTCACTTTTCTCCACCTTCTTCCAACACTACTGAAGGAGGTCTAGCAACAAATTTAAGTCGTATACTTTCAATTAGACCTCAATGATTAATGGCAAAACTTTTATTCTTCTTTGATTAGCTCTCTATTGGTTCTATCAACAGCTATCCAAAATCTTCCCCTCTCTTCTCAAGCCTCTCCACCCACTATTTCTCTTGCCTCCTATTTTATTGAGACAATTAGTCCATCTACCATGAGCACCATCATCTTCTCTATTTCACAATGCAAAACCCTTCTGCATTGTAATCCTCCTTTTCCTCCCTACTGCAATTTCTGAGAAAGGGTGGTAGTGGTAGAACTCTTTGCCAATCACTCTACTTGTGACTTCAATCTCATCTCTTCTTGAGTGTGTCCCATTGAACACTCTCCTTTTCACTTGTCTCCCCATCTATGGACTCCTTCCACACTACTTGAAAACAAACATATATCCAATCTATCCTTAGAAAACATTCACTTGATCTTGCTCAAGCTATTATCCTCCGTCTCCTGCATTTTACTGCCAAACTCTTACGACCATTGCCTCCATGTCCTCAGCACCTACTCATCTCTTACTTGTTTGCCATCTGGCCTCTGATTCTAACACTTGACTGAAACTGCTCTCTCCAAGGTAACCAATGACCTCCAAATGGCTAAATTTGATGACTTTTTCTCTGTCCTCATTCTCTTTGCCCTCTCCACAGCTTTTAACTCTATTGACCATATCTTCCTCCTGGATACAATTTCTTCCTGATTCTGCTTTCTCCTTTCCTCATCTGTAAAATGAGGGAATAGGACTATAGTGAATAATTCTTAAGAAATTTAAAGAGAAACTATAGTAAGTGACTTCTACCCACAAGAAGCTGTCTAAAAGCCTGAGGGCAATAAGAAAAGGGATTGTCAGCAAAGCCAGTACAAGCACAGAGAGGTCTCCTATTGCCAGAATCAGCAAGGTACTTGTATAGCTTGAGAGGCACTGTATCAGTCAGGTAGTCAATTGACATCTATTAAGTACCTACCAAGTGCCAGATACATTGCTAAGCACTGGGCATATAAATGAAAGAAAGATAGTCCCTGCCCTCAAGGAGCTTACAATCTTTCTGGGGAGGATAACACATAAAAAGAGGCTGAAAAGCAGAGGGTAGGTAAAAAATGAGAGACTGAAGCTAGCAGGCACAGGGATATGGTGGAGTCCAGTTCAAGGAGTGCAGGTGGTGGGAAATGAAGAGGCAGTAAGAACAGAGAGTGCCCCAAAGAGAAGTCCAGAATGATCAGAAAGCTTTGGTGTTAAAACCCTGGAAGTGAAAGGAAATGTCGGTGGCCAGTAGCAGCAACTAGAAGCACTTAGACTGGGATATCCCAGGTCCAGGAGATCTGAGATCTCTGGCAACTTATTCTGAAATAATAGAGAGGAACTTGAAGATCCTGTGTTCTGAACTGAAGGTTCAGGGGCCCTAATCCCAGGAGGTGGAGGTTAGTACAAAATCCAGGTGACCCAGGAAATGGCCAAGGAAGGTTGACTACCCCACCCAAAACTGTAGTACAGGGTAGATCCTAGCCCTGACATAAAGCCCCAATTAAGGAAATAAAACTTGAGTGATAAATAAATCAAAGAAAATATTGACCAATATAAAAAAGTCATTGCAAATTGAAGAGAGTGACTGTAAAAACAACAGGCAGAGACTCAAAGGAAGGAAAAAAACAACCAGATTTTCCACAAGGACTATATGAATTAAAAGAAATTAAGCAAGTGCTAAAAAATAAATACATAAATAGATGAATGAATGGATAAATAAATAAAAGCTCTTGAGAAAAGACATAAGAGAAGGAGAATGAGTAGCTTAGAAAAGAAAGTAGCAAACCCAACCCAAGTAACAGACTCCTTAAAAACTAGAATAGACTAAACAAAAACCAATGACTCTAAGAAGTCACAAAAACTACTTGAACAAAAATCAAAAGATTAAAATAATAGAAGAAAATGCAAGATATTTGCTATGTAAAATAACAGATCTAGAAATATCTTGAGACATAATTTATTAATCACTGGAATCCCTAAAGACCATGATTTATAAAACAAAGGCTGGACACTATATTTCAAGAAGTCATTTGATGACAACTGTCCAAATAACCAGGTGGCAAAGTGAAGATAGAAAGAATCTACTGAAAAAAAAAAGAAAGAAAGAATCCATTGATCACTTCCTGAAATAATCCCAAAAGGAAAAGTCTGAGGAATGTCATAGACAAAATTCAGAACTCCCATATTAAAGAAAAAATACTTGAAGCATCCAGAAAAGAAGCAGTTCAAATACCAAGAGTCTAGTTAGGAGCTCTTTGAGAGCAGAGACTGACTTTTGCTTTTCTTTGTATACTGAGAGCTTAGCACAGGGTTTGCCATTTAATAAATGCTTATTGACTAGGTAAATTGCTGTGGCTGAAAAATTAATTGCTTGATGGTGAAATCTCTGATGTTAAGTTTTTCTGAACTTATGACCTGGTAGGCTGGTTTCTGAATGGCAGGGATCCCATATGTCACTGGGCTCGTACTTGAATAGCCTTTCTAGTATGGTAGAACCTGGTAGGACTTATGCTCTGTTGGGATAGCCTTGAAGAATTCACTATCACTTCCATACCAGAATGATACATCAGAGAAGGACTTAAGTGTTTATTGGCTCCAAAAACAAATATGAGAAATCACTATTTACAAAAATGAGTGATGAGTAAAATCACTCTCAAGCCATATTTTCCTTCTAAAGGAGAATCCCAAAGCCTAGATGCTGCTTTTTATGTCTAAAGGCATTCAGGCTGACTTTCATCATCTTTTGAATGATATATCATCCTAAAGGACAACAATCCCAGTTTTTTTTTCCTGAGATTTTAGTCTTCATAAGAATCCTGTGTTGCTGATAGCCCTGATGATTGTTGGAGAAGTGGAATCCCTTTAAAGGTCAACTTAATGACTTCCTTTTTCATAATTTTTTTTTTTGTTAGGGTCATGCTGGATAAAGGATTCTTTCACATGTGGGGTATGACAGCTCCTCCTAGCAGCAATCCCTCTCCCTTTCCACCCTCAGAAGCATTCTTTTGAAGTGGGGTTTTGGAGTATAGGTTGCAACGTTTCTTCAGATGATGTCTAGTATTATGGCATGCTATTTAAATAGGGATTGCCACCTCTGGCTCAGCTCTCCTCGGGTTACAGTTGGATAAATGCTATGCATTACTGTGGTGGAGTAACTAACTCCTCACTATCATACCTACTGAATTAGAGAAGTTTTTTTTTCCCCCCTCTGGAACTCATCCTTTCCCTGTAGGAAGAGGTCTTCTGCCAGAATAGCTCATATTTACATATACTTTAATATCTACAAAGTGCTTTATAGATGTTATCTTATTCACTTCTCATCATAACCTGTGAAGTAGATGCTTTTGATATTTCTATTTTAGAGATAAAGAAACTGAGGTTCAGAGAATTTAAATGACTTACCCAGGTCAAATGACTCACCTATCATATTATTTCTCCAGGGCAGTGGTTTTCAAACTTTTTGGTCTTAAGATCCTTTTATATTTTTAAAAACTACAAAATACTCTAAAGATCTTTTGTTTATGTGGGCTATGTTTATTGGTATTTACATTATTAAAAATTAAACTTGATCAATTTTGAACTATTAATTAATTCAAAATAACATTCATAAACACATTACATGTCAACATAGATAACACATATTTGTGAAAATAAATATATTTTCCAAAATGTTTATTGAGAAGTATCTTTGTTTTACATATTTTGCAAATCTCTGTCTTTTTTACATTTAATTTTAATTTTTTCTCAATTACATGTCTTTTTTTTTTCAGGCAATTGGGGTTAAGTGACTTGCCCAGGGTCACACAGCTAGTAAGCGTCAAGTGTTTGGTCTGAGGCCGGATTTGAACTCAGGTCCTCTTGACTCTAGGCCTGGTGCTTTATCTACTGTACCACCTAGCTGATCATCTCAATTACATGTAAACAAAATTTTTAACATTCTTTTTTTTTAATTAGAGTTCTGTATTCTTTCCTTTCCTCTCTCCCTATTCCCTTCCTTAAGGAGGTCTTGCAATTTGACATAGATTATACATGTGCAGTCATGCAAAACATTATCATATTAGCCATGTTACAAAAGAAAACACAGACCAAAAAAAAAATAAAAAGAAAGTAAAAATATAGAGTTCTTCACAAGTTTTCATGTTATCCTTGGGCAGGTACCATGCCAATCTTCTCCATATCATTTCAATTGTGGTATGTATGCTGCTAAAGCAAGCACTCTATAAATGTCTTAATAGAAGATTTAATTCTCATAGAAACTGGATTCTCATATTTACTTCTGCATTCAATCCCTTGCAATTTGTTGCATTGTTTGAAACATATGAAGAAAATCTGGCCTCACACATATAATATAGTTGAAAAAAGGGAGGTGTATTTTAACAGACAAATAACATTTTCGTATTATTATGAAAATAGTTTTGACTTCATAGACCCCCTGAAAGGGTTTCAGGATCCCAGTGGTCCACAGATCACACTTTGAGAATAGTTGCTTTTGGAATTTGTATATGACTTGGGAGTGGGAAGTCAGCATGAAAGAAATGGAAATGTTTTTGTGGCAAGTACCATGGTCCCAAAATTACTGGCAGAGATAAGTTACAATGTCAGTTACAATTTTACAAGTAGTTTGGAAACAAAAATACAAAATATCTTAACCTTGTTTCTACCCATTACCCCTCAAATGCATAGACTACAAAAAATACAAATTATTCACAGGGATAGGAATATGAGCATAAAAATGCTGAATGTAATTTGGTTTGAAGCACCAACTTTCAGGTCCGAATGGTCACCCAGAAGTGAAAAACTGCTTCCATTTTTCCCATTCAACAGTGACTAGTCAATAAACATTTATTAAGTGAGTACTATGTGTCAAGCACTGTGTGTGGGTGCGGGGGATACAAATAAGAAAAAGAAAGTGTGCCCTAAAGGGGCTTACAATCTAGTAGAGGAAGACAATACACAAAAGGAAGCTGAAAAAGGTCGGGGATGGAGAGGGGGCAACCAGACAGTACCTGGCGCCAGGGCATGCTGTGGAATTGAAACTAAGCAGAGTGGTTTATGGGAAATGAAGACAGTTGGACAGTTTTGGGCCCTCTATAAAGAGAGGTTTGGGGAGGAGTTTATTGCTCTGCCCTCCAGTCCCCAGTCAGAGGGGACAAGCACCTGAGGGTACTTAAGTATCCAAGTTGAATCAATCTACATGATAATGAGGTTTCTGGTAAAATCTTACCCTTCAGGTCAAGGGCTTTTCTTCTGGAATGTATATATTGGGCTGTTCAGCCACAAACTGGTTTTCAATGATATAGCATCCCTTGTAGCTTTCCAGGATCCTGGCTTGGAAATATGCTTTGTCCTTCTTGTGCCATATGTCTGATTCAATGTATACGTTGAATGGATCATGGGAATGCTCCAGTTTTTTGGAGCGCACATAGCTCAGCATGATGCCCAAGGTGAAGAAGCCAAAGAAACCAAGCACTATGAGGATGTACAGGGCTTCCAACTCACCACCAGCACTGTGAGCTACAGCACTTGAGGAATGGTTGCCTCTTTGGATGTATTCTTCCAATGGTTCAGAAAGGAAGGGGTATGAGGCAGTACTGTTAGACAGGGCAGTCATTGTTCTCAGTGCTTGATGATTTTCTTCCCTAGTGATTTCTAAAAAAAAAAAAAATAAGTAAAAAGATAAAACTAATTTTTATCAAAGTATCATATGGTATGGATTCTTTTGCTATTAACAGTATGTAACAGGATGATGGATTTTAAATCTTGTTTGTTTTTGTTTTTTTCTTCTTCCTTCTCTGCCTCTGCATATCTCTGACAACCTTCTGTGGGCCTAGAGAAGATGTGCAGAGAACCTTCTCACTATCATCTCTACTAGTTTAACTTCACAAAACCACACAATCTCATTTGGAAAATACCATTAGTCATCTAGTCCAACCCACATCTGGACCAGAATCCCACCTACAATGTCCCTAGCAAGGGGTCTACTGGCTTCTGCTTCAAGAAAAACTTTACTTCCTGCGGCACCCCATTCTGTTTTCAGATTGCTCAGTTGTTGGGACGTTTTTCCTGACATCAAGACTAAATCTGTGTCTCTGAAGTTTCCATCTCTTGCTCCTTGTTTTGCCTACTTGGGCTAAGCACAATAAGTCCAATACTTATTTAATAGAGGCCTCAAATACTTGAAGACAGGTCTCTTTCCCTCCCCCTGACTCTGAAGCAGGATAAAGAATTGTTGGCTATGCCAGAAGTGTCGTGCAGATGCCTTGATGTTCTTGGAGCTGCTCCTGCTCAACACCACCACCTCATATCAGGAGAAGGAATATGTGACTACCCTGAGATGTTATCACCTATGCTCTAGCTCTGATGTTGCTGATGCTGCTCTGATTCATCATCACCACTCTACATTAGGAGACTTACCATGAACTTCAAAGATGTGGCATCATCCACTGCATGGACCAGACTGTGAGACTTTTAGTCTTTCTGAAGGAAGAAAGAAAGGCTTAGGACTTCTGGCTTTTGTATTCTACAACATTTTTTTGTTATTGTGTTTTGTTTGTTCCCTTTCCCCTGCTTAATCCTACCAATTTTAGAAGGGTTATCCCATAAAAGACTTTATGCTTGGTCCTTCCAAAGGAAGGAGGCAAGGCCCAGGCTTCACATTTTTGTTTTATTTGTTTTTTTTTTCTCCTTTCCCTCCCTTAATACTTAGCTTAAAAAGGCCCAGGTCTCATACTACATCCAGGGCCATCTCCAGTCGTACTGATTTATATTTTACCACTGGAACCAGATGACTTGAGAGGAGAAAGGGAGAGTGGTGACTTTGCACACCTTCTCTCACTTAAATCCAATTCACTTGAATGTCATGGTATCACCTCCCTGATGTCATGTTGCTTTTTGAGAATTAAGGACAAACAACAACAATGACCCTTAGTACTACTAGAAACACTTAATTTAAATGGTGAAATATCTTCTAGAAGATCCTTAGGATCTTGCCACCAAGGAATGGTATATAATAGTAGCAACGGTTTCTTGATACAGTTTCCCTGACCCTGCTGCACTTTCCTCCTTCCCATTCCCATAACCTGATTGGCTACAGTTTCCCTGATGCAACTTTCTGATCTAGAGGTAATAAAAGGTCCCAAATACGTGTGGTTTGTCCCTCTCAGACTTGGCAGATGACTAAGACCATGTGAATCACAAATCCTGACCAACTGACCAGACACATTTCTAGATGGAGACAAAGCAAGGTTGTATCAGGAAGCTGCTGATTTTATCACACTTCCTCAGATTTGCACTTTAGGAAGATCAGCTTCATAGCTGAGTTTATTGAAGTTACTGAAGATGTGAATTGTCCTGGCCACATATCGCCTGTATCTATGTCTCATTGCCAGTATTAATTTAAGTTTATTTTGTTAAAGTTACGTTGCCAGTATTACTTTAACTCTCCACATGAATGTAGTGTGTATTTGTGAGAGAGTGCACCTCAGGTTGGGATGTGTGTCTGTGACGTTTTGTACCTATTGTTTGCACTATGCCATCTTACTAAATTCTTTGTTTTGCACTAATTATGATTATTAAAAGAAAGCTCACCAGTGTGAGGTTTGTAAGCTATGCTTCTAGGAATGGGGACCTACAAAGTACCCTTTAAGCCTGATGATAATAACTGTCCTTTGGGAAGATAGATCACAGGATATACTATACTTTCAATGCTGCCTAAGATCACATTTGGGCAGCTAGGTGGCACAGTGGATAGAGCACTGAGCTTGGAGGACTCATCTTCCTAAGTTCAAATGAGGCCTTACTAGCTGTGTGATACTGGGCAAGTCACTTAGCCTGTTTGCCTCAGTTCCTCACCCATAAAAATGAGCTAGAGCAGGAAACAGCAAACCAGTCCAGTATCTTTGCCAAGAAAACTCCTAAAGTGGGTCATGACTGAAGTGAACAAACAACAAGATCACATTAGCTACCATATCACAATGTACAGAACTTGTCCTCCACTAAAGCCTCGGATCCTTTTCTTTCCCCATATGAATCACTATCTACCTACAGCTTCCTTATCTTGTCCTTAAAAGGTTTGAGGATGTCTTTTTTTTTTTAATCCCAGCATAAAGTTTTACAATTATCCTTTTAAAATTTCATCTGATTAGATTTGACCCAATATAATGTTCTAGTCAATCCAAACCTTTCTGTTATTCAGCTTGATGACTATTCCTCGTAGTTTTGTGCCTTTCTCCATACTGATTTGTATTATTAGCCTCTTGAACTAGGATGAATTGTCTTGGATGAATATTCTGTTCTTGAAGACACAAGAGAGTTAGACAGTGTTTTAAAAATTGGATTTCAACCCCTGAAATTGATTTGACTTTATTTCAATCATTTGTTAGTATTCTCTCTGCATGAAGCCCTATACTAAGCAAAATAGTGTTTCTGTGCTGATTCGTCTGAAAATGAGTTTAGCCTTATTCCCCCAATAGTCAGTATGGTGTAAATGGTATATGGTCCCAATTTGGATATGATTTATGAGTTTAAATCAGCTTAGAAATACTACAGTGCTTCAAAGATTTGTAATGTCATGAGTATTCACTACAGGTGCAGATCTAAGCTCATCTATATGTTATCAGATGGAATTCAAGACTTGTTGTGACCAAAACAATCATCACCTTTTAAACCAACTGATAATGAACTTTTCTGAACTTGGGCTTATCCTTGGATGGAGCATATACCCCATTACTGCCCCATACTTGAAACCTTTCTAGTTTGGCAGTACTAATGAAGCTAGCAATCTATTAGGCTACCCTAGCCATTTAGATCCCAGGGTAACTTCCATGCCACAAAAAGCATTAGTGTATGGTTTTAAATGGAGGCAACTGAGAAATGGCTTCCTAGAATTTCCCCATCACTTCCTGCTGCCTCATCTCTAAAATCACTTTGCCCTTAATAATCCTTCCAATACTTCCTTGTCTTTACTGGATGTTCCATGGGCAGCTCAAACTCAAAGTATCTAGAACAGAAGTCATCTTTTACCCCCAAATCTTTTCCTAGTTCCCCATTTCTGTTGAGTCCTCATCATTGTTCTAGTTACATAGGTTTGCAATCTTAGAGTCACACTTAACATTTCCCTTTCTCTCACTTCTTCCTCATATTCAAACAACTGCCTGTTTTCATCGATCTTACTTCCACAATATTATTGTCAACTCTTCCCTTCTCTCCACTCACTCTAGTTCAGAATCCCATCACCTCTCACCTGGACTATGGTAATGGCCTTCTAACTAGTCTCCTTGCCTCTGACCTTTCTACCTCTCCAATCCATCCGCCATATAGCTGTCAAATTCTAAAGCTCAGATCTGACTATTTCACTCTGTGGTTTAAGAAGCTCCAAGTTCTCCAAGAGAAACTCTCTCTTGCTTCTGGGATAGAACTCCTCTGTTTGGCCTTTAAGCCCTTTCCAATCTGGCTCCAGCTTACCTTTCCAGGTTTATTGCACATTACTCTCTTTCATGCATTCTATATCCCTGACAAACTGGTATGCTGGTCCTTCATTCCTGTCATTCAGTTTCCTTTGTAAAGGCCAACTCTCAAGCCTGGAATATATTCTCTCTTCAGTTCTACATCATGGAATTCCTACAGGAAATCTATCCTGATCCCCCCTCGCACCCATGCAAGTAGCCTCCATCCAAAAATTACTTTTGTGTCTACCTTGACTATATTTTATATTTAATTTTCTAAGTACATGATGTTTCTCCCCAATAGAATATAAAGTCTTTAAGAGCAATGACTATTTTGGGAGTGGGGTTTTTTTTTGGCCTTTATATTCACAGCACTTAGCACAGCACACGGTACCTAATTAGAACCTAATAAATCTTTGTTGTTGTTTTAATGACAAGCTCCATCAAAGGTCTCAGTTCTGTGCTAATGTGACGAGATCTAGGAAATAGTTTGAGGGCTCTTAGTTTTTGCTTTTTTTGTTAAATTGATAATTTGCTAAACTTCCCAACAAGCAGAACTTTAAATTGAGGCTACGTGATTACTTCCCACCTATATACCCTCACCTTAGAGTGAACAGCCCCACCTAAAGGCAAAGGGAAGAACAGAGAAAGGTGTGTTGTGGAAGCATACTCTACTCCTTTCCAGAAGGAAGAGGGAATAAAATGGAGCAAGTACCAATTAGCCAGCTTTATTCTCCATAGCACTTCCTGGTGTCTACACACACGCACACACACACACACACACACACACACAGAGAGAGAGAGAGAGAGAGAGAGAGAGAGAGAGAGAGAGAGAGAGATGCATGCATGCATACATTCTCTCTTTTGTTGCTCTAGTATTTTGAATAGAGGCAGTATATGCCATACAGTTCCTTCAGCAGCTGTCAGTACTCTAAAAATGATGGAAATCAATCCTATAAATAGTGATACCAGATAACTAGCTTGACCTGCTGCAAGTGATAGAATGCCTAAACAACTAAGCAATGGCCTGAAGTAGACAGGAAATTTTGTAAAACTCAGAACTTCCGATCACCCCCAGGAAGACAGAGAAAATGGTATGAACTTTGGAGAATTAAAATAAGTTGCTCCCCAAAGCCAACATCCTGTGCTAAAAGTTCTTCTATTACTCTCACACTAACTTAATTATCTGCACTGATAAGGGACTAAAAGCTTTTAGAACAAACATTCTGCCAGAACTGGCACTTTGCTTCTGTCTTAGAATTGATTCTAAGCTTCCTTCCACAGTGGAGGATCTAGTGGAAAGGGAACTGGGCTGAGAGCCAGCAGATCTGAATTCCAAGTCTAGCTAGTCATTGATAAATTGCATGACCTGAGGGAAGCCTTAGCTTTTTGCTATCTCAGCTTACTTATGAGTACAAAGGGGATAATAAATACTATTATCACACTCACTAGCACCATTTATATGGTATATTGGAAAGAACATTGTGTTTGGAGTCAGGAATCCTAGCTCTGCCACTGCTGCAGCCAAGTTAAATAATCTATTTTATCCAAGGTTTCCAAGAATAATAGTGGAGAGACATTAAGAAATTGAACAAAGAAGTGAATAAAAGTAATACCTATGTACAGAAAAAGATTCAAGAAAGAGGCAGAAGAGAAAAGACAGAAGAACACAGTAGTTTGGTTGAGAATCTTACCACCTATATGAAAGATAAAGGTCTTCTTGTTTCAAAATAACATTAGGCTCACCTATTTCATAGCATTGTTATGAGTTAAAGGGCTTTATAACTATAAAGGAGGATATTATGTGAGCTATTATTGTGTTCTTTTTTGCTTATAATGCCAAGGTAAGGTGCTCAACCAAATGAATTAGCCAAATGCAGGGTCTTTTGTTTTGTTTTTGTTTTGGAACGATATCTAGTTTTGACTTTACCATTTGGCTTTGTTTAGGGAAGTAGTAATAAAGCCTGTGTGTGCCTGGAAATTTTCACAATG